CAATCAAGTAAAATAACAATGAAAAATAAAATCATAACATTCCAAATCAAACATTCAGAGTATCATTTTCCGCCTCATTTTCATCAGCTCCATAAAAAAATAACCGCTTCCAACTTTGTTTCATCAAGAGAAAGATCATCGAACTCAGGGTTTCTAAGATTAATATCATCCAATGAGTTAAATTGGTCACCTTCAATATCCCATATTTTAGTAAGACCTATTTGTAAGAAAAATTTCTTCTAGATAAAAGTTGAAGGTTAGTATGCACAAATACGCTTTGTCTTTGTTTATTTACACTTAAATTTTATCTTTTTGTAATTGTTGACTTTTTACTATTCCAAAATTCTTTTTTAAAACGTTGAACTTCTAAAGCACTCAAATTTGTTTTTTCGGAATCGCGCTTCCACTTCGCTTTCGAGAGCTTTTGATTTTAATTCCGATTCCGAAGTGAGAATCAGTCATTCGATGAAAAATTCTGTGCAACCTAGATTTTAATTACGCGAAACACGTTTTATAACCAAAGACATCCATAAAAAATTGAACAAACTGCACAAAAACAATTACATCGTACCAAAAGTGTGGTGCCTAGTGGTATTATGGTTCCCTTGTGCCCCGGGTTGAAAACCTTTTGGTATGGAGGGTTATTCTTTAAATCAGAATATCTAAAAGCTGTCTCTAGATATCGAAGAGATTATGAGCCAAAAGTTCAGAACTCTCACGATTTATTAAAAAAAGAAAGAAAACAATTACATCGCATTGCACCTATCTTAAAAATGTTATACTCAATCCTCTAATCTCGACTGAACCAAAATTCGATTTCTAGACCCTGTTAAATATTTCTAAAAGTATCTTCTTATTTCTTTCTAACGAGAGAGACCAAACCTACAAGACCAATAATGTTATAGACAATTTTATCACATTTTGATGTTTTAAAAAAAAATACTACCATTTTTCAAATAATCCAAAAATACCGCTATTTGTTGAATGTTCCAAAAATATTAC